CAAGGTTAATACTTACTCGGAGAAAGCTGCACAAGGTGCTCTTAGCACGCTTCCACAATACTGAAAGGGATGTCTACTTGTGCGAACTTCTCAATACGAAGCAAAAAGATCATGAACTTGTGCAGTCGTATATTGCTCGTTGGCGAAACCTCAATATAGGTCAGGCTACTTCGTGGCTTGAGCAACAAGAGGTACACATGTGCAACAAGAACATGAGACCAAAAATTGCATCACATCTTCAAGCTTCTAATCCTTAAACTTTTAGTGACCTGGTATCTACTGTGAACGTTGAAAGCCTCATGGAAGGATTCAAACTTGGCCCTAAATCGGTGACCTCAGAAGAGATGTGAATAAGGGGAAATTCAATAGTAATCAAACAAAGACCTCCATGGCTACCGCAATAGTTGCTCAACACAAGAGATGAAGGAATTACCCTCCTACAAAAGATTACGGCACCCTGCAGACCTCCGGTGAGGACAAGATGGACCCATAGGGAGACAACCAACATTCCAAGATCGCCTCGAAAGAAAGAATTCTTTTGATAGGGAAGGTGTTCCTGAAATATTGGAGAACTTACTGGCATCTGGGACAATCAAGTTACCTCTACCAAGATATCTAAATCAAGTTGGGCAATCAGATCAGGCCGACTATTGTTTATACCATCAGATGGTAGGGCACATAGTTAAATATTGCTTCCCCCTGAAAGATATCATTGAGAATTGTATCAAGGAGGGAAGGCTCAAGCCCAATAAACAAGAAGATTCTGCATCGGGAACTGCAACAGCCAACACCATATCTTTGGTGACATATGAGTACAAATCTCCTAAGGCAATAAAGAGCTCCCCTTATTGAGAAGGCTACAACTTTGATTCAAGGACAGTGCCTTTTATATATATACAAGCAAATTGTCATGACTGGATTGATCACCCCACTAAGAAGGAGAAAAGCCTCAAGAAGGAATGCTACCCATCAACGGACATTGTACTGCCCTTATCATGATGCTCAAACTCATAGTTTGGATAATTGTTGGTCGATGAGGGACTTGATAGTAGTGATTCAAAAAGCGGACCGCCCAGCGCCTAGGCGGTCCAGAAGGCATGAGCACATCGCCCAGGCTTAGGCGGCCAATCTGGGCGGTCGATCCCTGGGCGGCCGCCTAAGAGGTATGGATACCGCCTAGGCGGCCGCCCAGGGCCCAACCCTGGGCAGCCCAGGGCCTGCGCCCCGCCTAAAGGCGGAAAAACCATTCGGTGAGATATTTTTTGTCCTTCTTTTTGTATTTAAAGGGCAAAAATTAGGGTTTTAGGTTCATTTGAAACCTAAAACTTGTTGGAGCCAAATTTAGAGAGAGAGCCCTCAAAAAACTAGATTGTGGTGTACTGTAGTATTGGAGTGATATTATTTGATAACTTGGTTTGATGATTTGGTTGGTTGGAAAATTTTAAGTTTTAATTGGATATGGAGTATGAACCAACTTATGGATTATGGTTATGTTTATGGAGTGTGTGCTAAATGCTAAATAATATGTAGTATAATTTGAATTATGTACTGCAATACATATAACTGATACTGACATAACTGCAGAATGCTAGAATCCTTATTTAGATTCAACTGAGCTGCCCAGGTTATGGGCGCCTGCCTAAGCACTGTGCGGCCTGGACCCCCCAAGCCGCCCAAGACCCGCCTAGCACTTTTTGAGACTATGCTTGATACAAAGCCTTACCGACCAAGGAATTATAGTTCTTTCCTATTCACTCCCATGTCATGAGGCCAAAAATGCGGAAGCCTTGACCCTGACACCACGAGTCACTCATGAAGTCCCCATATTACATAAGGTTGAGGGGTGTCCTCGTCCTGAAATATTTGAATTTTGCTCAAAATATTCAGGGACCTTAACTCTTCAACAGCTACTAATGACATATCTAAAGATGGATGGACTACATACATAAGCAAGAAGGAAAGGAAGAGAATGCAATCCATGGCATTGAAAAGAGTGGGCTTTAATTTACAGGAGGGCACATTATGTGCAACTCTTAATCATTTACAGTTATCTCCGAACCATAAGAGGGAAGCCTCATCGCCTCCAAAGGATAACATGCAGTACCAAAGCGAGGGACATGCAAGAAATCTCAATGATAAAGACTTGCAGCCAGCCTTGCCTCCACTCCCAACCTTGAAGGACTTTGTGACCTTGAGGAATTCGATGAGGAAGAGATAATGGATGAAACTCCGATAGTCACCACTTATAACATGACATGGATAGTAGATTTTAACCCTGAACCTCAAACCATGGCACTTGAATTAAGATCTAGGTCAAAGCACTGAATGATAGCGGCACATCTAAGAGATTGGGACCAGCCGTTGAAGTACAAACTGAAACCTCTAATGCCACCATTGGGCATGCAAAACAACAAACCTCATTCGATAACTCCAATAAATATAGTGTGGCCTCCCACTTGTGGAAGATGCCTGCTACCATTAGCATCTATGATGCTCTCATGTTATCCAAGGAGTTACGTACTCTTATACAAGCCTTGTCATGTCCCAAAGATTTTCAAACTGAAGTTGATTAAGTCGAAATTGACCCAACTATTTTGGCTGATATCATGCCGGTCACATTCTCTTATGTTGACCTATAATTAGGGACTAGGTCACATAACCGCCCGCTCATGATAGCCGCTACACTCCATAGTCCATAGCACTCACATCAATAGAATAATGATAGGCGTGCGATCAACAATCAATCTTCTTCCACTAAAAACACTAAGATCCATGGTAATGGACATATATAGTCTTCAAACTGAGTGCCTGGTAATACAAGGCTTCAACCAAGTGACCCAAAAGGTCATATGGAACATCCAATTAAAGCCCAAAACAGGGAAGTTGGAGGCATATGTCACCTTCCAAGTCACTAAAACCGATGCCTCCTACAATGCATTGTTGGGACGCCCTTGGCTTCATGATAATAGTATCATCCTCAAAACCCTTCACCAATGCTTCAAGTATTTTCACGAAGGAAAACAACGCACAGTCTATGTTGTTCGGAAGCCTTTCACCAAGATAGAGGCTCATCATGCTGATGCAAGGTTTTATAACCTTGAAAAATCAATTTCCCAGCGAAAGATTGCCACAGAAAGTGAAAGCAATTCAGATGAAGATGGTAGGATCGGTCAGGCATTGATTAAGGCCTTCAAAGGTCCGAACATTGAAAAAGGAACTAAGCCACTAACTTCCATCATTCCCATAGAAGTCAAGCCGAGGACATCAAACCTGCATGTCACGAATAAAGTCGGGTCTCCATCACACACAAGCTTTAAGAAAGTAAATCAGGGAGAGTATGAGACCATTCCTCTAAAAGACTGCTTCAAAGCCTCAATGGCAGTTATACAGCCTTCAGGCTCACAAGATTATGAGAAAAATGAATTATGACCCATCTACCAACCAAGGGTTGGATAATGGGAGAGGAATGGTGACCCGTCTACCAACCAAGGGTTGGATAATGGAGGAATGGTAGCACCATTACAAGCCATTAAGGATATGTCCCATAGAAAATCCTAACACTCGGGGCTTGGGATACATGTCATTTGAGTTTGCCTCGAAGAGTGTTAAAAAGTATACTGCAAGGTACCTTCTTAAACAAATAGACGATCGCATTGACACACATACTGTGAAGATGTAATGTCTAAGTAGATGCCATAGCAATGCTTGAAGCCACCATGATCCTTGAGCTCGGGATCCCACTTCATGTCCCTGTTCAAGAATGGTGTACTATCCTATAATAGAAGGACCCGATTCCGAAGAAGAAAAAAACCATGTTCAAGAATAGTGTATTATCACCATAATATGACCCAACTACGAAGATGAAAAAGACCTCTGGACTAAATTCCCTCCATATCCTTTGGAAGCCACAAGGAAGTTAGAGAAAGCCGCCGCCCCTGCAAATGTTGTCTCTTCTAAGAAAGTACCCCAACAAGAGTGGCCATTCTACGTGGGCAACTGCCCGCACACATAAGAGAAAGACTAGCCTTGAAGAGCCGTGCTACCAGATTCACTATTTTAAATAACTGTGTATTTGCATAAATACTTGTTTAGAATACATATAAATTTATAAATATGCATAACCATGTATTTGCATAGATACTTGGTTGAAATACATATATTCATAAATAAGCATAAAGGACAGAATTATCTACATACATGTTTATTTTGAGTATATATATATATAGTAAAATAGTTTGATAGGGCTGCAACCCTATCAAAATAAATAAAGCCTCATCTCATAACTCATCAAAAACTTGCAATTCAAGCATTGAAAAACCTTTACATCGATCATCTCGGCTTGAACATTATGGTCGTGAAAAAATTAGAATTTCAAGCTCTTAAAATAATATATATTGGAACATATTATCTAGATCATCCATTTCACCCTAAAAATAAGTGTTCACATATCTACAAGATCTATACTTTTTTTAGTTCCAAATTTTATTTTTGGTCCCACCAAAAGACTCCTAACTGCCTCCACCATCAACCATTAATCATGTCATCGTTATGATCATATGCAGAACAATGATCACCATTTGAGTCATGTGGATAATAGTTGCATACAAATGACCTCCAGACGTCTTAAAGCTCAATATGATGGAGATGGTTGCACCACCATAAATAATAGGTCTTGATTGTAATTGGAACCCCAACGTTATATGGTGTTAGCCCTTGCAAAAATGTATTACGCTGTCCTCATAAGCTCTAATCAACAGTGTTTGACATAAGACATTTATGTGGATCACCTCAAATACTGGAAAAGAATCTCTCTAGCCGGAAATAAAGCATAACGCAAAAGGCGCAAGTTTCCCATAATACTGCAACCATCTCACCGAGAAAAAATTTCATTCAGGTTACTAGAAATGTAACAATAATCTAATTCGAGTAAATAAAGATTTCTGATCATAAAAAGTTAATGGTCAACCCAAAAAACATAAAACGTCAATGGTCAACCCAAAAATCTGGAAAACAGATGTGTTCAGTGATTCATTAAATAGGAATGCAAATCCAAGCAGTAGCATTGTACAAAAGCAGTGAATCAGAGCAACCAAAACAAAATGAAATCCAAAACTATCTCCAATCACTCCATACAAGAACAACAACAAAAAAAACAAAACAAAAAAAATACACAGCTTCCTAACAAAGCAAAAGTAGATACTATTTACCGCCCGTCTCCCAAAACACAGTTCCTGGCTGATTAAGCCTGCATGCCATGGTCAAAAAAAAAATTAGCAAAGAAACTAAGTCACAAGAGAAGTACTCAAAACAATTTGAGAATGTAAAAGGGTTTTCTCTGAAATTATCCGAAAGAACTATTGAAACGGGTCTCGAGCATTTTGCCTTATTAGCGATGTTGTTCGAGAGCCAGTCCAACCCCTCATAGAGACCCTCTCCCGAAGTGGCACACGTGCTCTGTATATACCTGAACCCACAAAAACAAAAAATATTTATGCGCGAAAAACGAGCAAACAGCCCAAAAGTAAATACAAGGCACACAACTTAGAAACCAAGCCAGAGTGTGAAATGCATAATAACCACAAAATTCAATTGAAAAGATAGTGTAACTCAAGAGCTGAATCCTCCGGGAAAAAAAAAAGAGTTGATGCAGTACGAACAAATAGAAAAAAATTTCACAACAGAAAAAAAGGAGCAAGAACAGAACTTTACAAAGAGCATCTAAACATAAAAAATAAATTATCTCCTGGCACGCCAAAAAGCGAGGCTAGAACATTTCCTTTTCTGGTATGATAAGTCAAAGCTACAAGAATATATAAGAGAGACCCTACTACTACTAGTGACTACCCTGATTGGAGAAGAACTTAGCTTTGTCCCAACCAAAGTACTCACCCCCTAGAAAAAACGGAAACAAGTTTCTCGGGTCAAGATGCATGTGACATGGACTTGCACTTCAATGTACTAAAACCATGCCAGAAATATGAGAAAATGTAAGGTACATCTGATTTTTTTTTGTTTCCTTTAGAAGTTATTACATATGTTTTCATTTTCACTGTTACTTTATTGACAACCCATGAGGAATAAATAACTTTTTAATATATTATCAAAAAAAATAATTGTTTTTATGTGTTTTCACTGTCCAATCTGCTGAACTACTTAACTTTTTCCTCCAAAAAAAAAACTGCCCAATCTGCTGAATTACTTTTCAAGTTCCACTGTACATCACGTTATACATATTTTTAGGGGATTACCATCTAGACTTTTATTTTACTAACACCTGCCAAAAGTTGGGCAGAAATTCTAGTCACTCGTGCGGTTTCACCACCTATTTTGGCTTGGATATAAGTAGCATGAGTGAAATAGACATCTATATTAAATCTAAAACTAGTTAGAATATATGGAGCTATTTACTTTTGACGCAAGGAGGTCACAATCAGACCGTTGGATGTAAAATTTCTCGAATATCGTAAGACACTTCAATATGTTGGATTCTACATCTAATGGCTAAAGGGTGATTATGACCTCCTGCAGCAAAAAAATATGGTCTTATATAGTATACAATCTTATATTAGTTAGGTATGGCACAGACATTTAATTCCAAAATTGTATTTCTAGGTTACACTTTTGACACTCATCCGGTTTCCAGTGTAGAGACACTTGTCCAAATTGTGAAACATAGCTCACCTCAAATTGGATCCCAAGGATTAAAAAAGAAAAAAAATACTTAGGCTCAACTCGCATGGTCGACGAACAAGTTGGAGGCGGATTTTACACCAAATCACAGTATCTGGCCCCTCTCAAGGAACATTTCAGGAAGTCACAAGGTTAATTCATTTGAATAGATTATATCCAAAGATATGATACCTATAAGGGTCAAAAGGACCAAACTACATATTCCTAGTTTCCCAAACTAGAAATATCAATCCTTAGACCATCATAAACAAATATGAGCTTCCCGCTCTCTTTTCTCGTCTCACCCCCCACCCACCATCTTTTCTCACTGAAACCACCATTTTTGCAGTGGTGGGATTAGTATAACATATGCTCTCTTGGAGACATTGTATAGGGCACCAAGGTTGTGGGTTGTCCCAATCCTCTGATATGTATACCAAAACTTTATTAAGATAATATATAAAACAGTTGACTCATTTCAAATAAAAACAAACAAAATACAAACTGAGATATATAAGAATTAGCAAACAGGAACATTAGAGAAGAAAGGGTAGCCTTGATTAGTGGGATCTTTCCGATGCATAAGGATAGCTAGCCAAGCTACATGCAGACCTTCACCTCCACTCTCACGTGGATATCTCTCCAACGTTCACCCTCTGAACAAATACCAACCACACACCTAAGCAACATTTATACTTTTCTGCTTGCAACTCCAAGATATTAAAGAAATGCAAGCTGTTACAAGGAAACCAAAATATTAGATTTGCACGTGCTCTTTAAGGTTAGGACCAATTATTCAACCCTTTATGGGACTAAAGTCTTAAGGACTCTGAAATGATGTAAAATTGGGGGGAAAGAAAAGATGCAAGGCCCCTGACTAGTGATTCTCAAACTGAGAATGAAACCCAAAGGAGAATCATTAACCAAAATAGCAGGCTGTCAATGAATAAATATTTCCTTTTATGGTCTACCTTCTCCACTTATTATCTGAAATTAAATATTCCTATCATGCAGTCTAAAAGTCGTACATCACCATGGAAATTCACCATATCCCCATTAGGAACTAATCCAATTGACCAATTCTGCAAATCCAGAATAAAGAGCACTTGTCTCAAAGTGTATGTCACATGCTTCTTAAGTTAGCACCTACCAGACAGTCCATTTCAGACTTTTTTTAAATTTCTCCCTGATCATAAAAAGTATCCTTCCATATCAGTACCCCACCAACCCTCATCTTGGAAAGAATATCACTAGAACTTACCATACATGGGAAACTAGAATATCCAACAGTTCACCCACATGCTCTGGTGCCTGAAAGGTTGTGAACCCAAACATCCCATTTTTGTCCTCAATGGGTTCCCAACAATTGTCCACCGTCATCTCAACATCTAAAGAATAACAAATCAATCTTCCATTCTGGCTGAAAAACGTTTTACGGACTTCTGGTCAGAAAATCAACTAAACTTACTTGCCATCAACTGGCACATTGATGTAACCTGTGTATAAAAGGGGAGGTTTATGGACTTCTGCTCACCTTTGTGAATTTGCAAAACCTTCATAAAGGAGGATGAGACTGGTGGCCAATTCCTTTTTTAATTATAACTCGTTGCTTAAATATATAAGAATCTAGAGCTACATCAACATTTCTCAAAAAAAAAAAAGGAATCTAGAGCTGACCATTCTAAAACCACATGCTACACTTACTTAATTGAAACTATCTTAAAACCCAAGCAAGTGCCAGACCAATTTCCACTGAGGTAAACTACCAATCAGAATCGGTCATCCACCTCTTTACAATAAGCAAGTCAGCGCAACTAAGTAACATACCATCAAGAGAAGTTCCAAACTATACTAGAACTCAGCTCACAGCTCAATGTGGATAAAAACTGCTGTTTATCTCTTGAACCATAATTCACAGATGAAAGATTGGGAATGGAAGCAGCTACTTTACCCTTGACTATTAGTTTCCCACTTTTACCACATGAAAACTATTGTTCATAACCATTCCGAAATGAGGATTCACATCATCACCTCCTTAAGCTCCAAGTTGGATGAAGGCATGGTCTCAAGCTACACCTCCAATAACACATGTTCCAACAGTAGATTTCAGACCATACATACACAGTTTCTTTCTGTAGGTTTTTTTTTTTTTTTTGAACGTTGGTATGTCATATATATTTTATTTTTTGAAATTTAACAATAATCCCCTATATTTCATATTTCATGCTCAAGTCTTTATTTTGCTCTATGCATTGGATTAAGCTCAGATTTGGGCCATGCATACTTTCATCATCACGTAACCATAAAAAATACAAAAAAATTTATTTTGAAAGGAATAAAATTACCAAAATACTTATAGGATACTTTGGTCATTTTACTATTGAATTATTATAGATACGTGAGAGTAAGAAGTATGGAAACCACAAATTTCAGCTTAATCCAATGTATAGAAAAATAAAATAAAATTAAAATACACTAAAATAGCACTTCATTGTGAAATATGTGGGACTATTTTTAAATTCTGAAAAAAATGGATTTTTTTTGTAAAATTGCCAATTCCTGCACACGCCCACATGCATGCACACACATATTCATATATATAGATACACATGCGCACATATGTGTGTATATGTGTGTGTGTATACATGCATAGTTTCACCATCACAAACCTATAAATAATACAAAAATATTAATTCGAAAGGAATAAAATTACCAAAGTAGCCACACATGCAAGCATACATACTATATATATATATATATATATGATAGATAGATACATGCAAACTTTCACCATCACACACCTGTAAAAAAATACGAAAGATTAATTTAAAAGGAATAATTGCCAAAAATGCCCCAGTATCTTCTAGGGCACTTTGGTTATTTTATTATTGAAATATTGTTTATTTTTATCGATACCTGATGGTAAGAAGTATGGACAACACAAATTTTAGCTTAATCCAAGATGTAGAAAACTAAAAAAAATTCAAATACACTAAAATGGGATTCCATTGAAATATACGTGCGACTTTTTAAATTCTGAGAAAAGGAGGATTTTCTTGTAAATTTGCCAATGCACACACGCATACACACACGCGTGTGTGCACACACACATACATACATACATACAAATACACATGCACAAGTATGTGTGAGTGCATGCATGTATGTGTGTATATATGGTCATTCAGATCAATAGACCCAATAAATCTAGTTGTTCTTCAACAACACAATCTCACACACACACACACACACACACACACACACCACATTTATACACACATACATAGTTCTGGTCATTCTGATCAATAGACCCAACATACCTAGTTGATCTTCCACAACACAATCTCGTGCAAATCTTCTCCCTTATTGAATTACTTTCAATGGTTGTTTTTATTTCTCTAGAGCAGAAAACTAGCATAGGGCCACATCTTTTTAAAGATGTACTCTAAACTCAATAGATGAGATTGTATACGCCGCTGGAAAGCCCTCAAGTTAATCATCTTGACCTCAACAATTATGAATCTGAAACAATGGATTTCAACCCTAAAAATAGAGCATCTTGAAACACATAATCTGGACTGTCCAATTTCAAGTGCTCCCGGCCTTTGCCAATTTTTGAAGCTTCAAATTTTGTAATCAAAGGTGGATATATAATTCAGGCCATCATAGAGGTTTAAGATGCTGGGACAACATTTTCCGGCAGATTTTCAGTTGTGCCTTTATTTTTTTATCATAAAGCTGCGGTGGGCTTTACTTTAGTGTCATGGGCTTACGCTAACCGCAACCTTTCCTAATTTTTTTTTCACTAAGTCAGTCTTTGGAAGGCATGAGGATATAACCAATTGCAGTTGCTGATAACAGTTTCCAAAACTATAACAATAATAATGTTCTATATTCATGGGAATGAACATGATAGCAAAACTCAATGAACATTTTTTCTCTCTAAGAAACTTCACATGATCGTAGAGCTTTGGTTATTTCAAGAGAATAGGATCAGAGAGAAGAAACACAAATAAAACTAGAATCAAACTGGCTCCTGATGAGCATATATGAAATTTCACATGGACCATGGTTGACAAGAAAGACCAAGGGATTAGTGATAGCATCGATAATTATCAAAGAGGGTAGATGAAATCACCAGTGGCGTTGACGAAGGGAGTGAAGTCCAAGCTTATCAGTAATCTCAGCAGCATTCATTGCATTGGGAAGATCTTGTTTGTTTGCAAACACAAGTAAAACAGCATCTCGCAATTCATCCTGTTATCAAGAACAGATTAGTCAGTTCATGAACCAATGAGTACTGCATGTTTGACTTACCCTCCCTACAGACCACTAAGACTACGCTACCTACTCAATAATAGTCTCCATTTTAAATAATTTCACATTCATAAAGATACAAAGCAACTAATGGAACCATATCCAATATAGCTGCAGTTACAACCATAGCTAGCAATTCGTGTTAACAGCAACATATCGGCAAACCAAAAAGTCATCATTAATTCAGTTTTGGTCAAAAAAAAAAGGAGCCAGAAAAGGTCTAAGCAAACAGTGTGCCAAAAAAATGTTAAGTAACAGAGACGTGATGGGTCTGGATTTGACTTACAAACTGGAGCTAATAAACAGGTGCATGCAGGTAGATTTGTGCATATAAATGTTAGGGAAGGACACTTGATTATTATCTCTCAAGAAAAGCCAAAATTTTTAGTTCACAAAATTTCAGTCTACAATGTAAATAATCAACTAATAAACCAAACATTAATACCTTTAATCAACTAATAAACCAAATATTAATACCTTGTGTTACCTTGTGTTGCTCAGAGGGAGATATATCCAATTGTAAACTGACAATAAATGACAAAGAAGAATAAAGCTAATGTACTTCTTAAGATTTTTATATTTCTTTAAAGGATATATAATATGTTAAATTTTCATTTTCTTCAAAAAGTAAGCTTTTCAAGTTAATTTAAAAATCATTGCTTTCAAAACTTCTCTTAAGAAATCAAAGTCTAATAAACAGGAATAATTTTGGGGGAAAAGCACATTTAAGCAGAGTTTGCTAACCATGGTTACAACAATGCATGGGTTATAATCCTTTTGTTTCAATTTTGTATACAAAGAAGAACTGTCGCATAACACCACCATATACTACCAACTGAAATTCGCAGCTAATTAAGGAAAATGAATGAAAGAATTCAAATGAATTAAGTGAATATTCGAAGATGGAGTCTGACACCAAATCTCTAAGGTGGAAGAGACTCAGAAGTAGACCCATTGTACCACTGCAAGCTCCATGCTACTACTTGTACACTCACACCCACTCCAGCAAGCACACTCATATAATGAAAGCTAATGCACCCACCTACTCAGTTAATTGTTTAATGTGACATACCTTACAAGGACTAATTGCCCTAATAATAAAAGATCGAAGTATCATTTACTTGAGCAATGTGAGCAATATTACGTATTCTTACTAATATCTTTGGTTTAAAAAAGTACAAATTAAATAGGAAGAGAGATACAAAGAGAAGACAACGTCATGACAATTACAGAGTGAGTGGGACCATAATATTTTGCTTGGCCAGTTAGATATATGTATCATTCAGACCTGTGGAAAGAATCTGCAAACCCAAAGCCAAAGATGACATGTGCACTCATGATATAACTGTAATGAATGGAGTATCATGGGTCAAACCCAATAAGATAGCAGTGTAAAAGAGGAATGTCTCCAAAGAGAAATGATAAGGCAATCACACGTGTTTGGGACGTTAGCAGAAGCATGTCCAACATTACAGGGTTGAGGACCACAATATTAATAACAACACAGACTGCAACATGGAAGGTTACTTTGTGAGGAGTCCACAACATGCCAAGACTGATGAGCACCTAACTGTTCAAAAGTTCTACATGGAAAGAGATGACAGACATGATTGCATAGTTACCGGGATCTTCTAAAGAGAGGTCCGCTTCCGCTCTGGAAGCTCAACCCTGAACTCTGAGATACAGGATCTCGAGTCCTGGCGATTCCTTGATACTTGGGATCTCGATTCAAGAAATTAGGGAACTCAATTCCATGTAAATGGGATCCAAATCCCTGTGCCAAAAATCATAGTTCCAACATAAAGCGGAACCACGATTCCACCAACTTGGAACCGAGTATCCTATACTTTGGGAGCAAGTTTTACTGGCAAAGTTTTTTTGTTCATATACAATGGAGTGTGGATCTCCAATTTTTTATCACTTAAAAACGTTTTGAATGCCATGATTTCCTACATACTTTGCAGTTCAAGACCATACACACCTTTTGAAATGTGATTTGTGTCTAATTTCAAGGTAAGGCAACAAGAGTGGGCAAGGAGAGAGAAGGAAGATGTTGGGAGGAGATACAAAAATTAGTCGTATTGCAGTTATATTGAGAAGTGAGGCCGCGATCAATACGCTTAACTTCCTTGGGGCTAGTTCATTGGGTCTTACCCACCTCTCAAAGGACTTCTATTGCTCAAGTGTTGCTTAACCAATTCAAGCCATTCATGGGGTTGCCTCATGGGAAATGGAATAACTTGGAGAGCCATTGGGAAATTATATATGGACGACATTTCTTTTTCAGACAATGTATCGCAACATTCTTGGATTTCGGGATTTCAATTGTAATTCGCACCCAAATTACAATATAGCAGAAAAAAGAACTTCGAGGGCATCAATCCTAATAGTGGCATAATGTGATCCTATTTAGTAAGAAATCCACTCTTGTACAGATATGCAACACGCTCCCTAAAAGTTAGGGATCTTGACCCTTTCTTTGACCAAATACAAATCTCGTTCCCCGACCACATAACTTCAAGCCTATCTTGCTCCTCGCTCCTGCTCCAGATTCTAGATATCCTCCTGCTCCCATTTCAGGTAACTATGCATGATTGAGTGGAGAAAATATAAAAACTTCTATTATAGTTTATGAAATCCATTTCTTTTAAGCTTTGTAGCAATCCTAGCCTTCCCCTCCCAGAAACATATCTAAATAGGGACCGTCTTATTTGATCACCCACCCAGCTCTAATTCTATGTGCAACATCTTCCTCAATATCTCCATTCTCGTGGATTATCAACCCAAGTTATCGAACATAATCTCTTTTAGGTATTTCTTGGTTATCAATCTTAACAACTTCCTCGTTTTTACTCTTATTATTACTAAGTCCATTATGTGTGATTTTTCTTTTTTTGAAATTGCAAGGAATCTTGAGAAAGAACGCAATTAGAAGGCAGGCCACTCTAAAGTGCCCGATAGGTTTCAAAACAGAGGAGCCATCAGTTTTGGAAGGACAACCAACAATGGTGTTGGGGCTCAAAATAAATGTTATGTGATTTGCTTCACTTTAGCCAAAGGCTTTGGCCTCCAAACTGAAGCTGCCTTCAACCAAAGCAGGTCCCACCTTGGCCCGATTCTGCCTTATTTGGGCTGATTCAGCAAGCTACAGCCACATTCCTCAGCTGCTTCGGCCTTCTTTGGCCAGAAACTTATTTTAGCTTTAATGCTTTATAAAGGTAACTAAAGACAACCCTCAAATCAGCCAAAGCAACGAAATGCTTCTCTTCCCCAGCCAATCTGAAAAAGTTCCATTTTTTCTTCATTTGCCAATCTATCCAATATTTATTTATATTTATTTACACTATTAAAAACAAGACCTCAAAGTCTTCCTTCAAAACAACCAAAGAACCACATCACTTCTGCCTCCTAGCCAAACCACAGTCCAATCAAGCAATATTTTCACCTCAACGTGAACTTTTAGCACAAAAACCATACACTCATCAGATTCATAAACATTTTGCCAAAAATGCTATGCAGACTCAATTACTTAAATCAGGTTACTGGAATGCACAAGACCAGATCGGCAAAGGATTCAACATAATATAGATGCTATTCCATAGAAATTGTAAACAAGTGCGCCATGTAAATTTCCTGGAGAAAGGGTAAGATTTTTTGGTATGTCAGTACTACGCTGAAACTTCAAATATAGCACATGGAATAACAAATTTTTTTGGTACATGGATGGTTAAAAACTTCATGTCATCTTGGGCATTCCCTGATCGTTGATAAGTTATATCTCATATTCAAAGGTATCAAATTTGAGATATTCACTGAATCTATAGCCACAATCCCATAGAATACATTATATAGAAATAGGCAAGCTTTCTATGTGGTGCCTTAAAACACACATAGTTTATACCTAGCGATATGGATCAGACAACTGGAAGTGAGCCAACAACAATATCGTACATTAATTACAATATGACAAAAACCACTGGTGTCAATCCATGACATTATCTGATGGTCGCTCCCAACCATCTGATCAAGATCAAACTATGGACTCCAAATACAAATAAAATATGTATAAATATAAAGGTTTTGCATAAAAATAGCTCTAAAGCAGGTTGATTGCCAAGGAGAGGGAACTCTCGTCTCATAATTGCTTCAAAAGTGGCATTTTTCCACTAATACAAGAGAACAGCTATGAAGTTTTGGAAAGAAGGATTGACATCCTCAAAATGTGACTCAAGAAATTGAAAGTCTTGTTCATTCATAAACATGTGAATTCAATGTATATACATCATCCAAGTTCGTCAAAGAGGTTCCAGGCATAGTATTTCACAAAGCAAATATGTGAACAGTGACAATAGATTTTTCTACTGTAGCTAATAACAGTGACAATCAAGATTCAGGGCAAAACAAAGTCTCCAACATTGAGGATCAGGCATAATCCAAATGTTAAGAAGAATTCACATAGAGAAGCAAAAAAATGATGATAATGAGTATTTGAAAATACTTAATAACATGGAATCAGGGGACAATAAGACATATTCCAAATAATTATTCCACATAAAAACATTTTCAGTTATCCTATGGTTGTGATAAATACAATGATCAACTTGCATATAGTGCAAGGACTCAAACTGCCAAACTATATGCCTCGTGAGGATAATCAAATTCAAAATGGTCAATACCCACATTAATTGCATGAATTACTAAATTTAATATCATAAGAAATATAAAAACATTGCTAAAACGTGTATTGGCAAAAGATTGTTTAAAATACCTCATTCAACATCCTATGCAACTCATCCCTTGCCTCAACAATACGATCTCTGTCATTGCTATCCACAACAAATATAAGACCCTGAGTGTTTTGGAAGTAGTGCCTCCACAAAGGTCGGATCTATAGAAAGCATACACCACAAAAACCATGTAAAGCAATTTTCCTAATCCAAAAGAAAACGTTTGCTTCAAGCCCATTCCACACGTACCATTCACAGAGCAAAAAGTAACAAAGACCACAGCATAACAGTAATGAAAAAGAATGGATCGGCAGTAATAATTAATAAAATGGATTTTCAGAGCTCATTCTACATTTTTTTGAAGATAAATATGCAGACACTTAAGCAAGATCATCATATACATTTGAAACCATATATTCCGACCATTACGAAAGCTGCGACACACTGGGGACAGATTATTAATGAGTTCATACCTTGTCCTGGCCACCAACATCCCAAACAGTGAAGCTGATGTTTTTATATTCCACAGTCTCAACGTTAAAGCCTGGAAAAGAAAATAAAAAATTTAAACTTCAGAGTCCTTGGTAAAAGGAAACATAGTATACATTTAGGCCCCATTTGGAGTCCCAGTAGCCATATGGGAGCCTTATCTCTAGTTGCCTTTGTGAGAAATCATGAAGGTAGGCACTTGTGATCACAATCAAGTAACAATATCCAAGTTTTTGGTGATAGTAGTTTCCTTTTTTTTTTCTTTTTTTTCTCTCTTTGGTATTCCTAAGGCCAAAATGGGCCCCAATGGCAGCATTTTCTGAATAAGTGGTGTTCCATTCCTTACAGTGTGCTAAGCTTGCACACCACCCACTCAGGCATAGTTATAAGGCAATTTTATCGCTACATCCAAATGGGAACTTAACTCTTCGCAAAATATATTAACAGATATTCAGCAATCTATAGTTCAAGCCACAACACAAATTGACATGCCATTCAAGAAGCCCCAATGCCACACCAATTACTGCCCCAGTCAAAAAGAAATCACAAAATAATAAACCCATTACAGCACAAATTCCATTGCAGAAGAAACCATGAATTTCTAACAATTCCTAAGAAATAATCAGTAGATGAATTTAACATCAAAAGAGCAGACCACCTCAACATGAGACATCAGACATGAAAGATTCCTCAAATGCAAATTCCTGAAATTGATTAAGGAAGCATGCACAACATAACAGACATATATCGACATCTGTAGCAAATTTACGGGTCATTTGTTTCCAGCCAAATACAGAAAATATATGCTAGCTTATGTTTCACACAAGCCATGGAACTACAAAGTAACCAAGGCATAAAAAAGGAGAGTAAAACAAGATGATTCTTACATCATTCATAAAGTTGTTATTCACTAATCACAGCTGCTGTTTCAATGCCAACCATATTTTTGGTTAAATCGTTGAAATAACCAAAAGCAAAGAACAATAACAGATGGTAATGAAGCTTGCAACAACCAAATGGCGACTCACCAACAAAAAAAAGAGAAACAAATACATGCACCTAATAATACAGCAAAAAACTTGATAGCATGTAATAATAACAAATAGGCAACATGCAAGATGCAAGGAACATCAGAGTTCCTCAGGCATGCCTTTCCTCAACAAACCTTCTGACAGCTGAGGATCCAGACCTCCCAGTGCATGATATATAATTGGATGTTGTCCCTTTTTTTTTTTTTGGAAACTGTTAAACTGTTCTGTTAGTAAGGGTAAAAATATATACTTGGATGCTGGCCGTTCATGCAAAACCGAATTACTCTAAATATTTAAAAATACGAAGAAGAAAAATCGATGCCAAGATGCCAAGTTGAAGGAAAAATTGATTTTCTTTTTTTTTTTTTAAGCCATTAACTGTGAAAAATGAATATTTGTTGATCAAATCATCTCATGTTAGTTTCACCGACAAATTTACATGGATAGCATAAGCATTGATATCCTAATCAACCCCACACAAGTACACCCATTTATATAATGCACAGAAAATAAGAAAAGTATTATTGAAATAATTAAAAGAATGCAAAGAAAGTTTCCAATCGAAAAGGTTCAAAAAAACAGTTAGCATTTAATACAGAAATGAATGAATTCACATTAACAATTACTCAGATCCTTAAAAATAAAAACATCCAGAGTTATTCATTCTTTTCAGGAGTGATCCATCCATATTTCTACATCACATATAAATCTGGCATTGAAGCCCACAAATAAATTATAAATAACCTAAAAACATATCAAACCAAAGAATAACATAGGGAACTATAGAACAGAAATCCCAGAGCAATTCAACAAAGAAATGCAAGGAAGCAGAAAAGCATTTTCACGAAAGAGCCTTTCTAGATTAATGGATAGAGACTCACCAATGGTGGGGATTGTGGTCACAATCTCACCTAACTTGAGCTTGTACAATATGGTGGTCTTACCAGCTGCATCAAGACCAACCATCAGAATTCGCATCTCTTTCTTGGCAAAAAGCCGGCTGAATAGCTTTGTGAAAGTCAGCCCCATATCTCTAGCTGATTTCCATGCCACGTACAAACAAAAATTGCGTATCAATATAAGATGTATGAACATCATCCCAATATTCATTTTAAATCCAAAAAATTATGCATTTCTAATATTTATGTTGTTCAAAATTATTTCAAAATTCCCATTTTGACAACTAGAAATAATGAGGAACTAGAAATTATGAGGAAGAACAATCAATAAGATTAAATGGTCCAAACACAAGGCATAAACCAATTCACATATCTATATATATATATATATATATATATATATATATGGTGCGTATATATATATAGTGGTGTTGGTCGGTTTGTAGTAGACGCGACGGTCTACTAAACAATACAAAGTAAACGACCCTACCTACTAAAGTACGTGGACGAAGAATGTTAGGTTTACTA